GTTATAAAAGTAGAATATAAAATATTTGATTCAGTTTGATCAAATCGCAAGAGAACGGCTAACATACAGATTTGATTCAGTCTACATTTAGTGAATGAGTGGGCAATAAGAACAAATGTTCTTTTCTGTTTTATCTTACGTTTCTTATTTATATGTGGATTGTTATTCACTGAATAACTCAGGAGGATACTTTTACTCACTTAACAGTCACCAACTAAAAGATCTTGAAAGGCAAAACTAATACTTTGCTTTAAGATTTTAGAGAGCTGTAATTTAAGTATGTAATAATGAGGAAGGGATTGAGAACTTCAAAACTAGTGGAAATTAATATTATTTACCATTATCCCCCAAAGTCTACATTGCAATAAGAACACAGAATGTCTTTATAAAGAATGGTTTTGATCCATACAACAAAACATCTAATGCTCATTTCATGGTTTCCTCATTAGAATTATCCTTTGTGTTTTATAGACTCCCTGGTCAATTTGAAAAGACAAAACCATAACACTCAGTAGCAGTTTGAAAATCCATCCAGTTTGCAATTACAAATTAATGGTAGCCTATTGATTTTTTTCAAAGTTTTGATGTTTCATGTTCTGTAAAAAAAAAAAAAATGGTACAAATGAAAGCGAGTTAAATTTGGAATGTTGTCTCTCTGCTTCATAATACTGCTTTTTAAAGTTTATTGATCCTTTTGAAATGTATTATTTTTCACTAGTTGGTCTCTGGGAATTCTTGCTGGTGAGTGTAGTATGTTACCAATTGTGCATTTTAAAACACTTTCAATATAGGTGCTTCTGTACATATTTTCAGTATGGGGATAATCTAATATTATTGATATATTGCTTGAAATACCCATAATAGCCACTTGCTAGAAACTGAGGAAATTTCTTTTGGAAGACTTTTGAACAACAAAATAATTTTAAAGGGTCTGTCCCTGATTGCTTGCTCTATATATTAGTTTATCCCCTTGATTTTTTTTTTCATTTGAATGCTGTTTTTATATAGATCCTCTGCCTGATCCAAAAGCCTATCCAGAATAGCTGTCTCCATTCACTGCAGTGTCAGCAATGTGCACATGGAGCTATTAACAAATTAGTAATGAATTAGGAAGCTCGGGTGAGAATTTGTAACTTTTTCAAGTTAATATAGCAGCTAGTTATCTTGAGTCAACTGTTGTATGGTTCTGATGTTCAAAGATACCTAGGGGAACACTAAAAGCAATCATAGCAATGTCACTGCATATTTTCTTCAGCAAAAAAGGCTGCATTATTCTATGTCTGCTTGTGTCAAAAAGCTATTAAGTGGTATAATAGAACAGAGTTCCCCAAGTTCTCCAGTTTTTGGACTAGTGGGACACTTGGAATTTTGACAGCATAATTACGGCCATTCTTAACAATTGGTTCTTAAGCAGTCAGAACGGATTCATTTGTATGAAGTAGACTGATGAGATTGTTGTCCTTCATACAGCTAATCTCTTAAGATGCTCTTTGTCCTTTCAACTTCCTTTATATTGTAGGGGGCTAGAAATACTTCCAAAAAAGCAATAGGGTGCAACCCTCCATCATTTTTATTTTCCAAGAATGCCTCTGGGATATATGTGGGATTCAGAGGCATTGTTGGAATTACAGGTGATGCTTGAGCTGGCACATTGCTTTATAACATGCTAGTTTTTTGCTCTTTTTTTAAAAAATAGAGTCTTAAAGAAATAAAATTGGTTAGTTGGTAGCAAGGGAGATACCTGCAGGCTCATTGGTGATCTTCACCTAATAAACTATTACGGCTCTGTCTGCAGCATTCTGAACAATCAGGCCATTTTGATTGATGTAGTGCTCTCCTTTTTCTTAAATGAGATTTTTTTAAAAAATAGGGGCAATATCAAATAAGAAATTCAGACAGTTCTACAAATAATTAAAATATAAAATAGAGATAGCCAGCTATAGAAATGTCCATATGTAGTCCTAAAATGTTTAGTATAATCTGTCTTAATTTTGAAGTGGAGCTCCTGTCATAATACAGAAGACTCTTTCCCATTAATTTACTGTAACAGTAAATATAAAAAGGCAGGGTACTTCTCAAAAAGACTACATAGCAAGAACAAATTCATCCTATCAACTGATTTTGGCATGTGTCCTTCCCTCAACTAGTTTGCATGTAACAACTTCTGTAGCTGTTATGCTTTGAAAGTGAGTATGTTTGCTTTATAAATAGCATTTCCAATCAAAATTATAGTTATGGTAGAATATTCCCTGAACTTGACAAAGTATTTCTAATATAGGTAATGAGCTATACATCAAAGTCTGTCAAGGACAAGTTTGACAAGGCTGATTAAAATAATCAGTTTACAGGCAACTTTTCAGTATATTCTTAGAGAATCTAGTTTTCAGAAAAAGTTCCTGATTCAAATTAATGGTTCTTATAATGAGTGCAAGGGAACACTTTGTTTCAAGAAATTATATCCAATAAGTAGGCCTGATGAAAATGTGAAAAATGCCAAGGAAGTATCAGACAACAGATGCAGAAGGGATAAAGCTAGGATTGGAACCACTGTGCTCTTAATATACCACCCAAAACATTGTGACAAAAAGATTTTGAAATGGCAGACAATAGGTTAAAAAATTTAGCCCAGATTACTTACAAAGGGTCATAGGTATTCAGATTTTTGGGGAGGGGGGACAATGATAAAATGTGCGTCATAATATACTCTTTGTATATTTGAGTGTGATATCTTGACACAAATACAGGAAGGCAAATCTTGCATCATGCCATCACAATCTATGTTTCATCATTTTGGTACCATGGTGGATAGGAACAGACACCTGTGCTAAGAGGGTCATTGAGAAGGGAAGAACCAATCGTTACAAGCTGGAGAGTTCACATTTAACACTTTGTCTTGGTGTTTGTCTCATCCAAACAGCCCTGCTGTTTGGATATTTTGGCTACCAAATGTATAGATGCTAAATTTTAATTGCTGATATTAGTAGTCTGTACATATGATTGACAGAAGCAAAAAGATTTTTGAAAACATTTTGCATATACTATTTGAACTGTCTAGGCAGTGCAGAATTCATCACCTTAGTTTAGAGAAATAAGTGACTGTTGAAGTGTTTTTCCCTTATTCAATTGGCTTTCTTTACCTCATTGAATAAGGCAGATTTTATTTTTTTAAATTTTCATAATATATTATTGTATAATCATTTATCCAAAATGAGTGATTTCTTGTCATTTCTTGTCAGAATTGTACTCTGTTGTAGAATATTTCCCAGACTTTGGATATTTGACAAGCTTTTTATAATGCAGATAAAGATTTCATCCCCTGCAGCAAAGTCACTTCATTCATTGCAAATTCCATTAATTGCCTGTAACAAGCTTGCTTTTCCAGCCAATATGAAAAATCAGATTTGGGAACAAGTATCCTTTAATACTGGGGTTCATGAATTTCTGGCTTTGCCTATACACCTTACCTTATTAAAAATATTTCATTTTATTCAGTGGGTGATTGGACCAGGCAAATTTTCTATACTATTTCTAATCTTGAGCATGTTTTCATCCTTGTCTTTTTTCTATTACTGCTCCTTTTCTCAAGTTGTAATAGGAGGGCTTGCTGAGATTTATGATGATCTAGTTGAGAACTTTCTAACAGGCACATGATGGAAGACAGGGTAACGCCATTGTTGATGAAATCCTCTGGTTTGGCTCCGGTGCTACAGATACCCTTGCTTTCTATTAGGCTGATTGGATTTCTTTGTTTTATACTATGTTGTTACTCATTTTATAGTAAAAGTTGAAAATAGGCAGGTAAAGGTTTCCTGTTTGACATTTGCAGTGTGTTTTGTCAGATATTTTCAGACAAGCAACATCATTGTAAATAAGTAAATAATGACCTAGCTTCTGGTAATCTCTGTGCCATACTCATTTAGGATCTTTTTGCCATTATATCATTTGGATCATAATTCTTATAAAAGAGTCAGTAGTACTCTCTCCTTTAAAGTTGTGCTTTGTTGAGAAGTTCAGTTTTATTGAGAGCTTCAGCAATTAAGATGATTTCTAGAATTATGCATGAAAAGTCCAGCTTATAAGGACTTTGGTCATAAGAAAAGCTATTGTTTCCAAAAGAACAGTTTAGAACATTCCTCATTTCTCTTTAAAAGTCCATAGACCTGTAGCTTCGGGAGGGGCAGCATTATTTCTCAGTTATAAGAAATTGAAATGTGTGTTTAAAGTAAAAATTCTCCACCTCAGCAATAGAAAGCATTATTTATGTGCTTATGTTTTTCAAACATAACAAGCTTTCAGTATGGCACATGATGGATCTGTGTTTTACATGTAAGTAGTGAGGATAATATATGTGTTTTTTCCCATTGCACTTTGTGGCAGCTTAGGCAAGAGGGAGAGAATGGTTATTGAAAAATAGTATGGAGGGGGGGAGCAAAGGCTAACGCCTTCTTCCCTAGCCTGCAGACTTTTACCAGTTTAAGATGGCAGAAAAGCAGATCACATCTAGTTGGTTTATGATTCATATGATGATCTCAGGTACATGTTCGTTATATTGCAGTGATCTCTGAATGTCCCATCTCTTCAAAAGTAGCATTTTTCTGCTGTTGGCAAGAGACTAGTTGATTGGTCCAATTACTGTAGTTCTTCATTTATTGAAAGGGTAGCTGTTAGTACAGAGAAAGCTGCAGTAGCCTTGCCCACTTCAGATTTAGAGCTGGACCAGGTCAATTCCTCTGACAAAGAGGAGAATATAAACAACTATTTGACCTTGCCCACAATAAACCTAGTCCTTGTAAATGTGGTACTGTTGCTGCCTTTATTGCAGAGGGACTATAACATAGCCTTTTTGAAGGCACCTGAAAGATTCATCTTCAGCCATTGTAGTAGTGTACATGGGCCCTACTGAGTCTTATTCTAAATTTTTCACTGTTTCTAGATGAAGTGCACCCTGTTCCTAATTCTTTCTGGCCTTTTTTTTTTTTTGTGTATTCATTTCTTTTTAGAATGTGCGTGACTGTCTCTTCAAAGAGGATGCAGATGAAGTGACAGAGGGGAAAAATATTATCCCTCACTTTGAATGGGAGGTTCCAAAGCATTCATTAGGCTTTAGCGAGAGCCAAATGTCAACCACACTGGAGTCTACACAAATTCGTGAATCAGACTCTTTTTCAATAAACAGCAAGGAGCAGAAAGAGAAGGGTGCCACTGCTCTTCTTGAGAGCAAGGAAGATCTAAGGTGTGAAAAGGGATTTTACTCAAATATGGAAAAGGAAGCTGAGGATTCAAAACAGGCTGAGGTGGAAATATCTGTAGTCCCTGTTTCACCTCCATTGTACCTCCATGAGCAAGAGGAGGAAGCCTGTGGTGTTGAAGAAAAAAAATTAACCAGCAAGCCACTTAGAAAGCTAAATGGAGAATATTACAATCCAAATGTTGATAATGAATTTCCTGCTCTCATTCGCTGTTTCCAGGTAGTAAATGTGAACACAGAATATCTTTTGCAAACGCCTATGCTACATTTTCTGAGTCACTTTGCAAACACTGCAGCAAGCATATGCTTTACATATCCATGAAGAAGGATTAAGTTTTCATGTCCTGAAGTAATTTCCCAAAACTAATCAGTTATTTAATTTTGTATTGTCTATATAAATTATTACCCCCTTCTTCATTCTTATCTGAAATAGATGTGTCTTAATTAAACAAATTTTTCTTGATTCGTGCAAAGAGAAGGAAATACAAAAAGCTAAAGATGTTTAATATATCAGAATAGCTAAGTAGTAATTAATACTATTTTTTAATTAAAACAGCATAACAACTCTTAAGGTCTGGAGTCATCAGATTTGGAAATACAACTTGCCTCCCTCATATTATAATATTTTTTTGCCTGCTTCAGTGTTCCTTACTTATTAATCCATCTGTTAAAATACCTGAATATGTAATCTGATAATAAGGCAATACCTGCCTGTCTTTGGAAATGCAAAGGGAATATGATTGTGTGAGACAAGCCTTGTGGTGCTCTTACTAACATTATGTTCTCTTTGAGTTAATTATCAGGTGGTGGCACAGCTGATTTTTCTTTTCCTATTGCTCTTGTGATTTGAATATCCATAAATGGTGATTTGGTAGTGATTTGATATAAACTGGTGGACTTCACATTTCAAACTGCAGGTGTTGCCTATGCACTCTCTATAGGTTTCCTACATTCAATTTAAATTCATCTAGTTTCTGAATAAATAAGTATCATGGCATGTCAAAAGGCTTGATATTCTTCCTACATGGTATAGCACATATATATTAGTACTATATGTACATAGATGTCTGCAATTAAATTTCTCTTCTATTCATTAAATATTAATATTGCTCTTAAGAGTGAATCAATTTCCATTATTTGGCCAATCTGATTTTTAAAAACCATGAAGTCATTGCATTTCATCATAAATTTCACAATTCCACAAATGAGTGCAAACAACATAACAGTTGTGATGTATAGTTGAGTCCATGGTACATCTACAAGATAAATGTTGGAATTCTATTAAGTAATACTGATATAATGTGACTAAATGTACTTTGCTTTGAAACTCCTATTTTGTAGCCCCCCCTTGTGAAAACTCAGACAGTTACCATCTCTGATGTGTATAATACTGCAAAAAGTGAAATTCCAACTAAAGAAGTTCCAATTGTCCACACAGAGACCAAGACTATAACTTATGAAGCTGCGCAGGTAGGCTCTTTCACATCTAGTGGTATGGCGTTACTGTAATATTTCATATGACTGGTAGAAAATCCAAGAGTGTTCATAATTTTTAATCTAAATTGTTTTGAGCATTTTATTTCAGTGGGTATTTTGTAGCTGCAGGGAATTCCACTTGTGACAATTGCTGTGAGAAATACCAATATGCTATCAGAGAAACTCATGTTTCTCTGAAACAGTTGTGTGGGTATTATACATGAATGTATGCACAACTTAAAGTAACTATGTAAAACAGTGTTTCTCAACCATGGCAACATTAAGACGTGTGGACTTCTGGAGTCCGTGCTGGCTGGAGAATTCTGGGAGTTGAAGTCCACACGTCTTAAAATTGCCAAGGTTGAGAAACACTGGTGTAAAACATAGCTAGGAAATCTTACTGGTCTGAGGGAGTGGGCAAGCCAAGGCTCCTGGCTTCCCTTTTTATGGCTCATAGAGCTCATTCTGGCCATGATGGCTGAAAATTTACAATACAGTACCCAAACTTTTGAAGTGAGAAACAGATGAAAATGATCTAAGATCTAAAAGTGTGTACCGCATTTACAAACTTCCTCTCCAGAATCCTAAAACAGCCCTGCTCACGTACCTGATGGGACCACTTTATGGCCATCAGTCTCCTGAAAAATCTTTTAAGTGTGGTGTTTAGTTGCCAAATGATATCCAGCCCTAATCTAGGAACATAGGCCAGTCTCTTTGCTGAGAGCTGAGCTGGCTTAAAGTGTGATGAAGGAGATTTGTGAGTTAATTGCTCTCCAGAATCATCATTCAGGGACAGCTGCTGTGAATCCCAGTAACATATAAGTAATGGCCCCGGGGTAAGAACAAAGATGTCCCTCAGGATTCATGTTACATCTTGGGCAGATTGCACTCTTGAGTAGAAATTTCCCAGTGTGTATTCTCACTAGGATAGCTTGCATGTTGGATGGTACCAGAAGGAAGCAGATGTGATGGAAGCTTTTTTCAAAGATCTACGCAAAGATAAATTTAAGGAGAAACCATTTCTGTATTATTTTAGTAGCTGCAAAGTGCTTTCTGTTTTTTTGTTTTTCTGTTTTAATTTTTCCCTATGGCAAATATGCTTGGTAAACCTGTGCTCTCTCAACCTAAATATGGTGTATTTCTGCCATAGACTGATGATGGCAATGGGGATTTAGATCCTGGAGTTCTCCTAACTGCTCAGACTATCACTTCAGAAACCACCAGCAGCACTACAACCACACAGATAACAAAGGTAAAACCAATGTTAACAAGTATATGATCTAATTGATAAGCTACATGCATGTCAAAAAATGAGATGCACAAGTTTCATCTTCTGTGTGCCTTTGGAATCCTGATAGGATTGGCAGTAGAATGCACAGAACACAGGAGCACTGTTTTGTTATAAGACAGGTGTTGTTACAGATCAGAAAGGCTTGTGTTCTGATGAAAATTGCAGGTGTGGTGATAGAAATCACATGTGAAGAAAGGAAATAGAACAATATTGTATTCAAGAGAAAAGGAAACACAAAGGGACCTTAATTCTCTGCCTATATAAGTAGTTAGAAAGATGCAGTGGGCTCAAGTTACCCTTTAGTTTTACAGTTTTTGATTACAAATAATAAATATAAATTGAAAAAAAGAAATAACAAACTATGAGCCAAAAGGTATGACATACCATGAGTTACAGATGCCCTCTTAAGAGTTTTGTTGCATGTAAAGAACCAACCTGTTTGATTCTTGAACTTCTGGTATTTGTAGTGAAGTTGGGAGACCTGCTTAGCCATTGTCAGAGACCTCAGAGAAAAAAAAAACTAATGTACTTTGTAAGATAGAGTCTTAAAGCAAGGCTTTGCCTCAAATTCTGTCTACATTAAAACTGAGAATTAAGGAAACTTGAGAGAAATTGGTAAATTGGGTGATTAGTGCACTTGTCTTAAGTTTTGATAGCAGCTTCCCAAAATGTCTTATATGTACATACAGTCTCCTATAAGGCATCAGAAATGAAAGTAGGTAATGCAAAGATTAAATCATGCTGCTGATGGAACCAGGTTCTGGGTTGCTAACATTTTGGGGAAGAGGGATACAATGCATAGAAATCTCACTGGGGTATATGAGGCAAGAAAAAGTAGCCTCTGATCCTGAAACAGAGAGATAGGCATCACAGCAGAACAGAGATAGTACTATCACAAGAATGGTCTTGGACATTAAATGAACTATCACAATTATTCTGGATGCCTCAGCAAAAAAGAAAACTCAGGAATAATTACCAACTTCAGAGAAAATACTACTTACAATTTAATGACTCTGAATTTGGACTCAGGAGAGGGCACGTTAAAAGAATCATTTAGCTAGTCCTAAAGAAATAAATGAAACCTTACGGGGTTTCTTGTATTTTTGACTGCATTAAAGGTAGTTGGCAGAACAGGTGATAGGCGTACTGTAAAAGGAAGTAATTAATGATTCAAAACTATATGGTATTATGAGGAATGGCACAATTCTTATGAAGGTGGAATTACTTCAGAGCTGAGCCTTTTTTCCATTAAGGCTTTGGGCTGACTTGTGGGTTATATGGTTGGGTTATGATTTAGCAGTTAGGCATTGTCATGTATCTGCAGCATCTTCCTTTAATCAATGGAGGAAGCATCTACACAATTAAGCTCTGATCTCTTTGCAGCCATCTGGGGATTATGAACATCTCTGTCAAAGCAGCAATCGTGCTTGTGATTAAGCTGTTTAAACTAGTAGAATTTAAGAAACATGGCTATGGGCAGAAATTTTGTTGAAATTCTCTATGCAACTAGAACCTTTAACCTGATACAATATGAGCATAAATTAAGTGGATAGTAGTGCTCTCAGAAGCTGGAAATTATAAAAAAGGCACATTTCAACTTCATTTGCATTCATTTAGACCCATATTGTTACATTATCTTCCAAATCCCCAAATACTTATGTAGGTTGATAGAAAAATCCTTTGATATCTTGATAATTATTAAGACCACACTTCTCTGTATATTTAACCTGGAAAAAAGACCAGTGGAAATCTTCCAAGTAGACAGATTTTTCCATGTACCCTAGTGGATTCCCCCTCAATTTTTTACTAGCCTTATTCTACATATTCTACCGTATTATTTTTGAAAAATGGTAAAACCATTCAGGGTTTTAAAATGCCATAGAGCATCCTGATACTATATTAGCAACATTGAAGGGGAAGAGTAAAAACAGTGGAAAAGGCCCAGGGTTTAAAAAAAAAAAAGTTCAATTTGCAGAGAGGCAGAATGTGACTAACAGTTATATTCAGTTTGTTAGTTAATAAAAAACATATGCCAGGATCAAATTTTAGGTACATTAACTAAACAGGTGCTTGTTTTCTATTAGTTCCACAGCACACAATGAGCAATCTGGGCAAATTATAGGTAAAGTTTCCTTTGAATGGGGAGTTTGTTCAGTGGCCCAGCAGATGTTGATTTTGCCATCTTCCTCAGTAGCTTTGTGGATTAATTCATGTCTCTATTTTGAAGCCTGTGCATAGATTGGCGGATTATCTCCATCATATGAATGTATCTAATCCCTTAATAAACCCACCTTCATATTTATTCATTTGATTTATATCCCATCTTTCATTTAGGAGCTTAAGGCAGTGTTCATAGCACTCAGTCTCTCTATTTTTCCCCATATCAACACCCTGTGAGGTAGGTTCGGTTGACTGAACTGTGGTAGGTTCCAAGTTACCCAGTGAGCTTCTTTAGTTGAGGTTGAATTTAGAACCTGGGTCTCCCCACTCCTAGTCCAGCATCTTAACAATTATATTACTCTGGCTTTTATGTATATATGCTGATGTGGTGTGTAATATTTTATAGTGCCTGACCAGGTTAATAAGAATTTAGCAAATAATGGCTACTTTATCTTTCCCCTTTAAAAGCAAATGAAGATTTGTGGTTGATACTGTTTCTCCTGCTTTGCCTCATCTCTCTGTCCAAGTATTTCTGTGTAGGCAGATCTGGGGTCTCTAGGAACTAGAGAAGGCATGGCCATGAAGCATCAAAGAATCTCAAAGTTAGCCATCTAGTCCAGTTTCCTCCTAATGCAAGAAATCCACTGCTGCAAATTTCCTGACAGAAAAACCATTAAAGTAGGAGAATCATCTTAAGAGGCATTCCCTCCTTTTTCTCATATAAGAGAGCATGCTTCTTCTAGATGACATCTGCTATGACATAATCTAAAACAAAATACTTCATCATTACCAAAGCATTTTTATAAAACAGGAACAATGAGGTTGTGATAGCAATTATGACATAATTTACAGCTCCTCACCATGATAGGAATATAAATTAATAGAGAAAATAATTTAATCTTCAAGGGCAAGGCATTTGCAATGAGTCCTAACTATTTTTCAGACATATACAAAAAAGAATCTGTTGTATTAATTTCACTTTTAAGATCAAAATAATATGATTTTATATTCTGTAAAGCAACTTTCCTGTAGTTCACAAAGAATGAGACATTTGGTCTCACTATTCCAAAGTTTGTAAAAAGAAAACTGAAAATGGTGAAATCATAATTATGAGAAGGAAAGGTTAAAAGATTATATAAATTTATCCTAATGCTAATTATATACTAGATTTTTTTTACTTATATCCCTATTTCATAAACAATTTAATCTGGTTTTATTTCCTTTTTTAAAATAACTAAAATCCATGTACGTTTTATTTTTTAATTATAAGCTGATGTTAATATTTGTCTTCTCATGACAGACTGTAAAAGGTGGAATTTCAGAAACACGAATTGAAAAACGAATTGTCATCACAGGAGATACAGACATTGATCATGATCAAGTAAGAGACTGCAGTGACTGTTGTGATTATTGATAATGGGTGGAGACTTCAATTAACAATAGGAGAGTAACTTTAAATTCAGATTCTGAACTCCTTTTTGAAACAATCAAAGTCTTTTAAACTGAGTCCAAATGTTTTTCTAGGTGATGACAGATAACAAGGCATCATTCACAAACACTAGAAGAAGCTGTTGTGTTTGGATAAATGTATAGTTAAAATGAAATTAGAAAACATCACTTGCATAATGTATCACTGCTATGGTAGAGCTAGCACAGTCTTCTTCAAGTGTTAGACTAAAACTTCACCATGCTGACTGTGAAATACGTTGTGGCCCAAAAAATACATAGGATATCAGATTGTGCAGAGCTAAATTAGGCAGCACAGCAATAACTTGTTCTTTATACCATTTTTCTTCAGGTTCTTGTTCAGGCCATCAAAGAAGCTAAAGAGCAACATCCAGATATGTCTGTGACCAAGGTAGTTGTTCATCAGGAGACTGAGATTGCAGAATAAATAACAAGAACAGCTATATCTAGTTTATATCAGGTAAATTCCCCTTTTAATGCTACTTCATCATAGAGTATAGAAAGTTTTAATGTTAGTCATAAATAAAGATTATTTGTTGCTTAAATCTTAAGGGAGCTTCCTGTTCTTGATATCTCAAGTGTATTAATCTATTATAGTAAACCTTTACAGGCAAAAACTGCTGCTAAAAGGTACATTCTTTGTTTGGACCAGAATCTAGACATAATACAAAAGAGAATGATTAAAATAGCAACCCATTTCTGGCTCTCATTGTGAGTCATATCATGACTTTTAAATGCCCTTAAAATTTAGCCTCCCACTAATGTTTTAAAGTGGTAGCAATGAATGTTTGGGATTAAATAGGTTGGGTCTGCAGAACATAAAACCTGGAAGTATCATGTCATGTGGTATTTCTTGTGGCCTGCCAGGTCTTGTTCCCATACTCATATAAGCTGCCCACTCACTACCAATTGGCTGAGAGAAACATATAGTGGACCACTTAAAAGAATTGGGTGCTGCTGATATTGCCATTAGAAGCATGGCTAAGAATGCTAAAGTGAGCCAAAATAAATGTTACAAATTCACCAATGGCCTTTTATCTTCTTTTATCTTATTTTTTACATGTCTCATGAACTCTGATTTTTCATATTATTACTTTTTAATGTGTACTTTAAAAAAAGGCAACCTGCGTGAACTATTCATGATAATAAAAAGGCGCTCACAATTGCTTGAGTTGTTCAGTCCTGCAGTAGACCTCTCAACCATTGTGGCCATCCATTGCAAGTTATCTGAATCTTGTAGAGAAGTGTCCTCTGATAAAGCGAAGAATATATTAATTATTCATGGTCTTCCCAGTGCAGTGCTGAGATAATGGGCAACTTGGGAATGAAACCTTAGCACACCATTTAATTTGAGAAATTGTCTGTGTGCTTCTCCTTGTGGATTATTTATGCTACAGATTTGTTTCACCTGACATAAGTTATTTAATGGTGATTTAGTTGTACATAAGGACATAAATAGGTTTGGGTTTTTTTTAGCTTTGGGTATTTTCTCTCCTGTTTTCTTTTCATCAGTGCTAGTGTTTCTCAGCAAAACACTACTTTATGAGTGAGCTATCTTGCCGGCATTTAAAGCTTGAGCACTATACAGGTAGTCAAGAATTGTTTCATGCATAAGTGAACAAGAACTGGGCACTTGTGCTAAGAAGCATCCTTAACTCCATGTATTGACAGAGCATCATGCTCTGATTTATACCTTTAGGTTTCAGAACTTTGTTACCTATGGAAGAATTATCCTATGGCCAATTTAGGGAACCTAGTCTTGGGAAAAAACAAAGCTTTCTGGACTTTGAGTATCCATTGCAACAGACCAGAGTGCCATTTCTGAGCAAGCATCTAGGCAGGAATCCTCCATTTATGTACCAGAAACCAAAAGACCCTTGGAGGCTACCTTCAGGCATGTAGATTTTATGTACTTATTTAATTTGTGTTTTTATCCGATCATTCTGCAGTTATGTCCCAGTATCAGGCAATAGTAAGGGAAAAAAAAAACCCAAAGCAATGATATAATAAAACAGTTGGTTTTTTAAAGTTAAAACACTAGTTAAAATACAAGCTTGACCAGACAGCTTACCTTTAAATATTTATGCACATGTTATAACAAGGAAAGCAAAGGTGATTGATCATTATTAATACTTTCAAATAGAACATGGCTATGTTCTCACTTCAGCATTCATATTCTGATCCTCATACTTAGATACATTTAAGCAAACTTTATGTATGTATTTAATAACATGTATTTATTCCACATTCTTGGATTTAGCTTTTCATAGAGAATGTCTTTCCTACTGTGCCTCAACTTTCTCACGTTCATTCGGCAATCACATAGAGAAGGGTCTGATCAATTGGGGTGGCTGCCCCGGAATATGGAATGGTCTCTCTACTGCTGAAGACCTGCTTATCTGTCCTGGCCTTTTCTTGATGGCTCCTATTGCCAGCTAACCCTTATTATTAATAATTAACCCTAATTGTTAGTCTAGGCTTTTTATTTTTGTATGTTTTGCATTTTTTGTAATTTTGTTATAAAAAGCTTAGGATTTCAAGTGAAGCTGAATGTCAGTCTATTATTTGAAAGTATTATATAATTGGTGCATTCTGCCCCATTACAGAATGATATCAGCAGTTCACAAACATTTTTTGTAAGATTTTCAACATGTGTCCATTTTTGTTAAGGAATTTGTATCTTCCTAGGTGATGCCTGCTTTATTCTCTGAAGGACACGCAAGATATACCAGCAGAACTACAAAGAAACTTCGAACACCATGACCTCAGACTCGCCAGATTTACTCTGTCACACATTCTATCATTTCTTGTTAGGAAGTTGTGCTTTTTTGATGTTTACTCGGGATTCTCTTTAATACTCTAGGTCCCTTTTCATTGTTTTTAATATTGTGACCGACAGTTTGCCATATTTTACATGTACTGATGTGCTTTTTTTAATCATTTCATTTTTTTTTCTTGCATTTCCTTTTCCTATGCCATTTTCTGAATCTATTATGCTGTCAGAAGACTACACAGGGCTTATCAAAAAATGTTGCCTTTAAATGTGATGCTGTTCACCTTTCTGTTCCTCAAGTAGCTTGCATTCTCTCCTACCTTTTGAATAAGTTACTGTGTGGCATATCAGTGACTTAGAAGTAGCCCTTCTTGTCAGAAAAATCACCCTGTGCAAAACTGTAATTTGATTTGGTTGATCTAGAATATGTCCAGAGTATCCTAACCACAGCCTACTTTGCCTGTGGATTTCCTTGGCTTTTGTGGATATGTCCGTTTTAGATGCTTGAACATATCCAGAGGTTGTGGTGTTTATATAAGTAATTCAGTAGTTGCCTAGGTTCAGGGACAGTGGAAGTTGCTTTTTATACTGTGAATTGTAGAGCTTTTAAATGAACTGTGATAAGGCATTCAACATCCCTCTGCCCTTTCCTCGCTCCATCTTTGCTTTGCTTTACAGCCCTTGGTAGGTGTTCCTTGTCAATCCTATCTGCCGTTTAGCCCCATTAAACTAAGAGTTTAAGAGTAATAGACTCTGAACACAATTAAGATTTATCCTGTTTTTTTTTCTCCATAGTCATTTGTAGGTTTGGGTGGAGGGTTTTGTTTTGTTTTTTGTTTGTTTTTTTGTGCTGAGGGGGCAAGAGGCAAATAGATTTAAAATCTTACCTTTTAAAGGAAAGCTAAACTTAGAGCACTGGCAATGTATCTGGATAAGAGGTATAATTCCTATTCATTCATTAAAAACAGTTTGGCATTCTTTCATGCAGATAGTTCAAAGGCATCAGTCAGAATAGGGTCTTGTTTCCTCAATTAAAAGTTATTTGGAGAGTGAATGTATTAATTTCCATCAGATAATGCTTTTTGCAAGACAGTACGTCGTTCTTCTTCAGGGCAATCCACGGTGCACTGCTGTTGTATCTCCCTCCCTTGTTTCCTTTTCATTTAGAATTCCTTATGAAAGAACTCTCTTTCTTTCAAAAAAAAAAAAAATGAATGGAGGATGTTGCACTTTGTAAATTACATCATTAGCTTTTTCACTGTTACACTAGAATGAAAGAGCAGAACCCATCATTGGTTACAGTCCTCAGCACCTTAATACTGCAGGTATTATTATCAGAGAAAGCTATATACCACCTAAATAATATAGTCAGAGAAAAAGCAACAAGTAATTTGTGAAAGGGTGAGTGGGAGTTTTTAAAAGATATTGTTGATTTTACATTACTTTCAAACAAAAGATAGGACTACTTTTTTTTCAAAATACTTCACTTTTCTAAGTGTTGTTGCAACCTGCATGTCCAGTGATTAAACTCCAATTTGGAATTCCCATATCTTTCAAAAATAGATAGACCATTCTTTATTTGGATGATTCTTCTTTCCTGAAATATGTCAAGGAAAGAAAGAAACACATCTACCTTTCCTTAGAAGAATCTGATTTCAGTAAATAAAAGCTTTCATTTACTATTTGCCATAATGCTACACTATCATATTGCATGTTCCTTTCCCCCTCAAATTTGAGTGCATTTTGATTAAGAAGTCAATATAAGTATTTTAGGATTGAAAGATTTAAAGGTAGTGGTGTGTGAAACATTTTAAATTCAGAACATCCCATTTTGAGCTTGAAACAATTTTACATTCAAAATGAAGTATTTATAACATTTTGGAAATGTTTTGAGATGGAGTGCTGTTGGATCCGCTTTGCTTTAATGTGCTCTGGACATTACATCATGTTTCCAGTGATTGCTGATTGGTGCCAAAGGGACATCCACCTGGAAATAGATTTTCCCCCCTAAGAGAATAAATATAGGATTGAGTTGTAGTAGTATTAATTAAAGTAATTGTGAAAGCAGTAGAGTAAGTAAGCTTCCTGACAATATTACATTGAACTGAAAGAAACTCTGAGCACTTAATGTATTTATTACAAAACTAGCTATTTATTGTGGAAGACAGCTGATTGGTACACTTTCACTAGTGCAGAATCTTAATATTTCTGCCGTTTTTACTGCTCTGTTATTTAAAGCATAAAGCAGTTTTGAAAGAATTCCATTATTTATTATGGAATTCTATTATTAATGAAACTTGTATTCCATATGTTTTCTGAGGACATGTTTTGCCCTTTCACCAGCTGTAACTGAGCATGATTTTTGTACACTATGGATAGCTAGCCATTGATGTTTTGTTCTGTTTAGCTGACATACACATTTTTGCATGGAAGGTGAATCCCTCATTAAAATATACTTACCTTTACATAATGAGGGGCATGCATTTCAGATTGCCCCTCTTCCTGGCCCTCTTTCCATCTATTGCTCTTCCATTTTAAGAGTTTTTCTACCCCCTCACCTTTTGACCTCCATATCCATTCATGCACCAGACCTAATTTCAGCAATTCATTTCTGTGGTGTGCAGCAAATGACCCCGACTTTCCTTTTCCTGAATTTCAGCCCATTTACTAAAAGAATGTAATGAAATCTGCGATAAGTGGTTGCATTAGACCGCCAGTCCAAGGTGGGATGGTGTGTATGCATTGTGTAGTTTCTTGCTTCTGTCTGCAACAATCAGAAGCAAAACAATGTACATTTAGCAGTTTGTGTAAGTATTTGGGATTATGTTTTCCTAAAAATTACTTAGGAATATGTCAGCCTCAAGAAATACTCAAAATCACAGGACACATGTGCATGGAAAACATGAAAAACTATTCTGGAAAATAAAAGGATAAAGATTGCAAATGGGCAACAAGACAGCCATATCCCTGAGAGAAAGAAAAGCAAGGGTCATTCAAATTTACCTTTTTCTTTTTATATATTCATTAGCAAGGCATTTTGAACTCAGAAGTTTAATAAAAGTCCTGTCCTACTCATGGCCTGACGCATGAACCCCACCCTCCTTTGAGTATGCCTGAAGACAAAAGCATTATTCACGTTTTTGCAAATCAAGCTGCTTTACACGACATACGTACATTATTGTGTTTTTTTCATTTGTTGTTACTCTGCTTCTGATTATTGTAAGGAAACATAAAAAGCTTCACAATATGCATGCATACCTACCTACCTACCTTCCTCTGACCGGCAGTCTAATCCTACCACTCCTGCCAGCTTTTATTACCTGTTATCCATAAACTGTAAAACTAAACTTCACAGCAGTAAAGGCTAAAAGCGTTTAAGCGTCCTCTTAAACTTCAGAGGAATGTGAACCCTGGGGCTGCTGCCACATAGCGATTGTTTTCTTCTATGAAATTCCTCCATGCTTACAGCTTGAATCCGCTCTCGTTGCTGCGAGGGAGATTTCTGCTTACCATCTGAGCTTATAAATCGTCACTCCTCCTGGCAGCCTTTGTAACTGAACAAGAGTTGTTGGTTGTCTACTCCTGGCTGCTGATACCCCAGAAGGGAGCAATATTTTATTTGTATAGTCAAGCATGCTGGAGAAATAAAAAAAGGAGCTAGTAAATCCTTTTAAAATGTATTTCCCAAGCTAACTGAACTTTCCATAGACGCAATGAAAACAATGTATTTTAGGATACCAGAGATATGTCCTGAACTGTCTGCCATTGACAATAGGGATGTTAATGTTTTGAGAAGGAAGAGCATTAGTAGGCTGCTTGTACTCACAGTCTCAGAGCTTAACAGGCCACAGAATAAATCTAGCTTCTAGCATTCTCATATTCTGGGGACCAGCACTGCCATTACTGGAGCAGTAAATAAAATAGTCTATTTATTTATAATGATGAAATGACTATGCTCTCAGTTATTTCCTTCCCCATTTATGAGATTATCTAGAAACTGTCTTAACTGTATAGTAAATGGAAGTTATTTATCTATGAATGTGTGTACAGAAGGAAGAGCAGCAGTATCCAAATTGATCAGATTAGAAGAAAAGACTACATTTTCACTTGCCAACAATTAAAGTACAAATTAACTGTGGGGATTCGGGAGGGTGGTGGGAGTTCATAAACTGTGATTTTTCCATTTTCATATAAGGGGCAGTTTTTAAAAATGTATTCTAATTATGGGGGGTTGGTTCTCTTTTTTACACATTAAATCACACTATTTCACTGCAGATATGAAGGAGCTTTGTAAAATTTTTTAAGACAATTGTATAGAATAGTTCATTCTTTTTAAAAATAGGAACAGAATAAACAATTAGTAAATCTTTATAGTTTATGTAGCTGTTATTTTGGACTTTTGTAGTTAAAGGAAAATTAGATGTAGCATTTAGATATGTGTTCAATCTTGTATTGCATTTTTCAATAAATTTTCAGGTAAAAATTAGCACTCTTGTCATTCATTAAAGCTCTACTTTGCCCACATTATCTGGACTGTGGCTTCTGAAATACGTTGGCTGAAACTTGGATTCTTCCAACTGTTTGGTTCACATGGCAGACCCAAATGCCTAGTTTAACTCCCTATTAAACCATAACCTTACTGTGTAACTTTAAGACAAGTTGCTGTTACTTTTGCACAACTTTGGTTGGAGTCACACATTGTGGTAAGCCAAAATGTTAGTTCATGGTGTATGAACCCAGCTGATATTATTTGTAAGTCATGTTTTATCATGTTGAAAATGAAGTCTTTGGATAGCAATCTGTAAAAGCTGTAATGAGCATTGAAACCTCAAACCGATCCATCTTGTGACCATGGGAGTCTCGTCACCTTGCTTCAGGTCCTTCCACTGCCCTCTCCAGACAAACTCAACTGTCCTTAATGCACAGGGAATTCCAGAGTCACCGGGAAAGTCATCCTATGTTAGAGAAGGGGAACTTCCATGGCTGCAGACTCCTTTGTGCTCGCACCACTCTGGGAATGGCCATGGGGACTTCCAGAATAATTTCTCAAGTATGGGTATTATCAAGTGATGCACAGTTGTGTGAAACTGATACAATAGTTACATTTCTCAAGCTGCAAAGTAATGCTTGTTCTCCTGTATTCCTTTCTATGGAAAGCTACTTTTTGTATACAAG